AAAGAGAGGTTTAGGGTTTAGGGCCTGCTTTTTGTGAGGCTTTGAGGAGTTGTCTGATTTGAGGAGCTTTCGTTTGGGAACATTCGTGGTTCACGGTTCAGAATTTTGGAGTTCTGACTTGCCCTGTGCCTCTATACACAGCTTGTCTACTTCCTGACATCGCCCTGTGGTTGAGAGATGGTCCATTCTCCCATAGATTAAACTGAACCCATCCCATTAGGAGGGGGGGAAATAAATGGTGGGTGTGGGCGGTGGTATTTCGTGCTAGGGGAAGGGGTGATCACTGTTTCTTACAATTGCTACACTGTTGTTTTCATAATGCTCCTACTCCAACCTACTCCTACTACCACTCCCACTCCTCCCTCTCCTACTTCTCCTCTTGCTTTCAGCGCATGCTTTGTTAAACTTCTGCAGCAAAAGAACTTACCACAGTTACTGTGTGAAAACAGCACTAGTAACAGCCTAAACCCTAAACTAGAATGCTTGTTACTTGTGCCGTTGCCAGGATCGCTTTTGCTTTCCAGCTTTTTTGTTTGTGACTATCATTGCCATATCGATAGAACTAGCCTCCAAGCCACCATTACCTTTCGTGTTTCTGTTACCTACTACTGCCACTGCTACATGGGATGTTTGAAGCCAAATAAAACCCTCATCAAGGAAGAAACCCGTAAAGTCCGCACATATCCCTGGAGTCCACAAAAACTCCCCAGTTCTCAGGAACCCCCCACATTAAGATACCTGCCCCGGCACCTCATCCCAGATGGGACAGCCGAAGTCACTGCCAAAGACCCTGCCCCGGAAGTTGAGCCCCACCCAAAGGCAGTCACCGGAGGTGTTCTTGTCCTGCCATTATTGCTGATACGGGACAACTAGACTGGCGTAATACCAGAGGTATGAGGTACGCATTGTCATGAAAGATTCTCTTGTTTACCCCAACTGTTTTCCCTTTGCATCACAAATAAATTGCTATGCTGATAAACTGCTACTGACATCACGAGCCATTGCTATTGACACTGTGGTGACTTGTCCAAGTACCATTGCACGAACTGCTACGAAACGAACCCTTGCTGATCCTTACAAAATTGAAACATGCAAAAACCATCCAAAAACTTGTCCTCCGACAGAGCCTCGAAGTAGCTCCTCGCACTTGGGGGCTGCCATGCCATGCCAAGATGTCGGTGCTCTTCCCACATCGTGAGGTATTGCTGCTGTTCTGATGCTTAACTACTATCCGCTTCTATCAACACCCTTGTGACTCTGGTGTTTTGATGCATATTTTGGGGGGCCGGGCGATGATTTTGACTCCAGATCCTCCAGCGCCGCAGCTGCTTTGCTTTGGCCAGCCAGGGTCCAGCCTTGCATTGCATCTGGACAAGTGGGGGCTTCCCCCCAAAATTAGGTCCGTTATGGGGGTTCCTACAATAAGGATCATGTAGAGTTGGGGCGCAACCAAACATCGGCCGGCCCCTAAATGCTCCCTGTCCTGCCTGACGCAGGAGCGCCTCCGAATTGAAGGCTGCAAAGGCGACCTCTCAATGGCAGCACTGCAAACATGCAGAAGGATAGGTCAGGATGTACAATGTAGGGGTTATGTTGGGGCTATAAAGGGGTTATACTGGGTTTTGTAAGGGTTGTATTGCAGATCAGGAGAACTCGAACAGCATCATGCGCTCTTCGCACGACCGCATAACTATCACGTACCTCTATTCCTGGCAGTTTGGGACGGTGAGGTGTTCTGGAATTTGGCAAATGCTGCCCCTGTTGACGAAGAGATAGGGTTGGCTGTCTGTTTTGTCTGTTGAAATTCCTGAAGTGAACACAAGAGTACGGCACACCCCTCACCTGCAGCAAAATTGGGCTCACGCATGACTTGAATTCCTGCAGGACCTCCAAAACCGAGCCTAAAACCATCACTTTTTAAGTAGATCCCCATATGCAGGGACCCTCGACCACCTTGTCGGAATCCTCCAAAGTCGCCGACACTGCCAGGACGAGCACCCGGCTTTGCTCGAAGCGCCTGCAGCTGAGGATGACTTAGTAGGAAGGGTTTAGGGTATGGGGTTTAGAACATCGAAACACGGAAGCCCTTACCCATGAGCCCAAAAACACTCCACCCAAAACTCCACGCGCAAGCTTGAAATCTAGGACCGGCTCAACTGGCCAAGACAGGACCCAAGAATCACGCTAAAATTCCCCGATGCCCTCACATTGATCACTAGTAGTAACAACCATCTTCAGAATTGTAAAGAAAAAGCTCAACAACCATAGTACTTGTAAAGCAATCGTCCCATTCGTACATGCAGCAGCATCACAACTACTGTTGTAGAATTTTACCCCAACACGTCTCTCCCGGTAAACTCTCCGGTATGGATGGCACATATTCCTCACCGCATATATCACCGCATTCCCCCCGTTTTAATCCCTAAATACCCTTGAAAGGGTCTATAATATAACCCCGTGCCATTCCCCTTTGTAATAGTAATGCCCTATATAACCAATATAACGCTCCCCGAAAAAATCTCCCCTATTACTCTTTGTGGACTAAAACCCGAGAGCCCTACACCCTAAGCCCTTAAACCCTAAAACCCTAAACCCTATAAACCCTAACCCTAAAACCCTAAACCCTGTGGCTCATATAGTCCCCAGCCTCCGGTAGGGCAGTGCGGCCTGAAGCGACTCGACGAGCTGCTCGAAGCTGCCAAAGAGGGCCACCAGCCGGTACCTAACAAAGGAGATAGAAAGCGATCTTTAGGGTTTAGGGTTTTAGGGTTCAGGGTTTAGGGTTTAGGGTTTGGAGGGGTTAAAGGGTATATGGGGATTATGCAGGTAGTTGATCGAAATTCTCAAGTAGGGTTCTTCTGTATGTGGGTTCACGGTTGTAAATACGATTTGGAGTGGGGTTTGAGGCTTAGGGCTCAGACTTTGGTGATTTGAGGGTTGAAAATTCTCACATTAACTATAATCCCTATATAATGTAGTAGTCTCCATTTTATTTTCCATTATCCCAATATTTCCTCTATAAATCCCCTATATAATACAAAACCCGATTCCCAAAACTGAAACTATGAAAATGAATCCCCACAATTTCCCTCAGCCTACAGGAACCCAAATAAGGTCACCAAAACTCCCCTTAGCCTACAGTAGCCCTAAATAATTTCTCCAAAGGACCTTGGATCATCCAGCATTTGGAGGCTCTTCAAGCAAAGGAATTACTAGGCATGTAGGTTTAGGGTCCTGTTATTAGGGTTTAGGATTTAGGGTTCTTGAATGCACTTGAGGGCCTCGGGATCTAGGGCTTGGGATTGAGGGTTTCAGGTTTAGGACTTGTAGAGAAAGGCCACATTGGGATGCGATTGGCATTAGAAGGTTCGGGATACTTGACCCTAAACCCTAAACCCTAAACCCTTTGAGTGTTGAAAGATTTGCTGAAGTCCGCCCCAGGTGCTCATCCCGTAAAGCCTGGGCGTCAAGCCGAGGAACCAATGGCTCATGGCAGGATGGCTTGGGGGTTATATAGGGTCATATTAGGGTTTATTGGGATAATGGAAGAAAATAGGGAAAATGGAAACTACTATACTATATAAGGTTCTATAGGGGAGATATTGGGGTTATAGTGGGATTGTGGAAAATAGAATGGAAATAATAGGGATTACAGTGATCATATAGATTAGTTTTTTTTCTAGACGTTCATTCTTGTATACGCGGCAGAAGCCCGAAAGAGGCAACGTAACTTTGAAGTTTCATGTCAGACTGTTTACCTTGTAGCTATACAACGCATATCCCAACCCACGTACCCTAAACCACAAGCCCTCAACCTTCAACCTTCCAGCACGTGCCTGAAGCTCCTTGGTCTGGGACCTGCCAGAGACAGGATCCGAAATCTCGACGGAGAGGTCACCGATAGAATACTCGCGCTCCAGGCGTACCAGCTGGGCGGTCCTTGTAGTTAAAGGTTATCTATATTATAGGAATTGTCGGGTTGGGGGTACTTTGAAAACCCTAGGGACCCAAACCCCGATAATTTCTTAGAGTCCCTAAGGATGTCCGTATAAAAATGGAGAACTTCCCAGTGGGAATCAGGGGCTGAGGGTTCAAGATTTGGGGCCTGAACAAAATTTAAAAAACTACACTTGGGGCCCATTAGCACTTCTCCTATGGGCGGGATTTTGGCGGAAGCCCTTAGGGAAACCCCTAAACCCTATAACCCTGATATACTATAGTAGTTTGCATCTTATTTTCGTTTGCCCCTATATAGCCTCATACACTATAGTAATAGTAGTTTCCATTCTCTCTGGCATCATCCTTATATAACTCTAATTAATATACTACAAACCCCTAAACCCTGAAGCCATGCAGTCCTCTTGCCGCGCTCACGAAGAAACAGGAATCCGGAGACCAGGGTCACAGCCACAGCGGCGACAAAAAAGGGTGGCCCCGCGTTGGATGGAAAGAAGGTTGGCGAAAACAACCCGCAGATGGTCAAGAACAGGAAAATCAAAATTCTCAGAGGCTCCGACTGGTTTGTGTTTGAGTACTGAAGCAAGGCCTCCCGGCGAAACTCCTGTAAAGAGAGTGGGTCAAACTCTGCCTTTCTCAAGAACTTCTGCTTGAACTTCTTGTCACTCTCCGCTGAGGCATGCATCCTGGCTCCAGTTGCCCTGTCTGCTAGCGGATATCTGGGTGATCTCCCAGTGTTTGTACCGGCACCGAGGACGAAGCCTCTGAGAGCGGTCGCTCCACAGACGGCCAGGGCAGCTATGATGAGGCATCTGGGCCTTCCACTGAAGCGAAGCATTGCAAGCAGAAAACCTCTAGGCCCTACTCTCGGCACATATCATCACAACGTTCGTGTGCTGCTCTTAAAGGCAGATGGTTGCATTGCTCATGTCGTTGAAAAGGGACAGGCTGAAGCAGCGGTGTAGTCACTGCAGTTTATAGGGGTTATGTAGGGGATACCGGAATCTATAGGGTCTGAACCCTCAACATTGCGGCAAAGAGGGATTTCAGGGAACATGCCCCGCATAGCACAACGGCTATGACACGCTGTGGCTGGATTGCCCCGCTCGTATTCTTTCAAGAGGTCTGGGTTCAATTGGACCTGCCCAGACTATAGGGCCTCCGTAGCAAATGTCACTGCGTCACTGTCAGTCAATGCCACATTTCGAATGAGGTGCAGTGTAGTTCCATCTCTTCTGACCCCTTTCCTCTGCCGATCTCAACATACCTCAAGCATAATGCTTGGCATGCCGCAGCGCCCAATTCCCAGGTTGGTTTTCATGATCCAAGGTGGGCTGGTTGCCAGAAGGATGAGGGCAGGATTCAGAGAACAAATCGACTGAGGCCGGAACAGGAAGAGGATGATGTCGTTGTCCTGCGTTGAGCACGTAGCTCGAAACGCGAGCTTCGCACGCAGCTGCAGATTCAGCTGAAAGTGTTGGTTGCTTGCCCCCAAAACCCCCAAGGACAGAATGCGTTCAAAGCGTATGCATTTCTTGAAATTCTGCTGCAACATCTTTCGATGGAGATGCCAGCCCTGCGTCGCCGAGGCCTCCGTGATGTTCACCGTGGGCTGCAGGATCATCTTCAGCTGAAAGATGCTATCCTGTTGCGGCGGCCTCAGGTTAGGGTTTAGGGTTCAGGGTTTAGGGTGTAGGGTTCAGGGTTTAGGGCTTAGGGGTCCATGCCAGCATGCTGCCGGAAAAGCTGTAAGGTCGGAGGAATGTCCTTTTTCTGGGGACAAGCCGAGTGCCGGGCGCATAGATGAACTCTGAGACCATGAATGATCCTTAGGTAGCAGGATCTCAGACACACCATGCTGTATCAAAAACTTACTGGGGCTTAGTAGGGAACATGGGAATGTATGATGGCAAAGGGATTATATGGGCCATAGTCTAAACTCCAAGTATCCCCCGTAATATCCCCTATACCAATCCCCTATACAATCCCCTATATAGGCCCTGTTTGAGGAGTTTAGGCTGCAGCTCATGTAGGGATTACATTCCCTTCTTCCCTACCAAGAACCAACGAAAAAAAAGGTCTCTCTGCCAAGTGCAACCATGCCACGGTCGACCACCCGAGGGGATGTTTTGATGGGCTCCTGTCATCATCAAAGCTCAACCAGTTTAGGGTTCAGGGTTTAGAGTTGGGGTTTAGGGTTTAGGACTGTTAGGGCCCAAACAACGCTGAAACTGAGAATTTGAAGCAGGTGCCTCGTAGATCACCACGTTCCTGACAAGCTTTGAGGTTGAGCCAGGATCGGCCCCCATGTGCTACCCGCATAACAGTAAGAAGAGGAAGAACATGATAATGATGTAGTCCCCCCCAAGTAGATAGAAGATGTGGTATATGGGGATCTTATTATAACCTACCCAAAGCCATATTCTATCTACTTAAGGGGGACTATAATCCCAATGGAAGAAGTAGCATTGTTATTTTTAGTATCAATGTCAAAAATATTCAAATTACGACAATCCAGGTACAACTGCTTGTGAAGCTTTTGTGGCTCTCCTTCAGTCGCTTGTCTTACTGGTGAACAAGAGGGGGTCAACGAGTGAGTCTGTTTGGAGCCCTCCAAGAATCACTACAGAATCTTCTTTCACAATACCCTATGTCATATGTTCAATCCAAACTGCCTCCTGAAGCATCAGTGAGAGCCCGGCCCGAGCGCCCGGATGGTCAGCGACGGGTCGTTCGGCAGTAGGGGCGTGCTGGGTAGCCGGAAGCCGCTTGACTCCATGATCCGCAGCACCTTAGGCGAAAAGCCAAGGGGTTCATGGGGCTTTGCATCTTCTAGGAGTTACAGCAATGTTGTGAAAGGACAGGGCCTGACAGTCATCTAGATCCACAGTCAGACTGCAGCCGAACATGAAGCGGGAGAACAACTAACCATCCCATCCATGGATTTGAAGCCCATTGGAACTGCAAGTTAGGTTGACGTGATGCGCATGATCAAGGGGGGTTGTCCAACATCCCTCGTCTCGAATTGGGGACTTGCGCGAGCTGCGCGCGCACAGTTTGCCGCAAAATGGTTTCGAGGCTCATCACACTCATAAATGGCTGGCCAGCAATGAGCCGTTTCTTGAACGTCGCCGCTAAAGACATTGACGGGGCCAGAGGCTTCCATCAGCTACGCGCGCTTGCACGGAGCTTTCAGAGATCTGCCGCGCACTGTTCAACTTGGAGAAGTCAGGCAGTCATGACCGTAAAGAACTCGTACCAAGACCCTCCTTGTACCCTTAATTGGGGATATATGGTCCCTAATAGTAGGTACTTAGGCCCTAATAGAGGGTAGGAGGAGGGTCTAGGTGGGCCCATAGCTCGGTCAGTCAAACCCTTGCGCCGTTCCTTGCGCGGTTCCTTGCGACGTGCCTGCTGAGAGCTTGCGGGCGCCCACTTCTTGACAAGTCGTGTTAGACTTACTTTTCGTTTGTAGGCCCTTCCTGGCAGAAAGCTATCAATCGAGAAGCCACTCGCGTGCCAACACCAATATGCGAAGGGAGACGCGCAAGCATCTGGCAGCTGTTCCGCCCCAGGCCAAAAATGTCTCATCAGTTCGGCCGGCAGAGCTTCCCAAAGTTTGGGTACACCCACATTTACATCCCCCCCAGTAAATTTCAAGCTTTAGGGTTCAGGGTTTGAGGACTGGAACTGGACTATACCCAGTCATGTGTGCCACTGGCTCTTCTGCATGGTTGTAGGAATCTGGCTGTGGGCTGTTGCCGGTAGATCTGCTGCCCGATGGGCACCTGCCAGGAAGAAAACTCCACCATACAAGGCTTTCGCAAGAATGGCGTGCCCTTGGACCCGAGAGATGTACAGGAATTCTAAGTGGATTATGAGTGCATCGCTTTACCAACACTGTGTGGGGAACTCATCAAGTCTTCTGTTCCGGCAACAGCCACTTAGTTTCCGTTAACTTGCCGGCGAAACCACGAGGTCAAAGGTCTCAGCCATCTGGTCCCAAATGCCAATGCGGATGAAGTCACCTGCGGCAAATGAGCATGGCCCAAGCTTGCAGGCGGCAGGTCTTCGCTCGGTTCCAGACTTAAGTCGTACGCGTTGGAGACTGGGACCTCCTGCGTTCCAATTGTGACCTGGGTATACGAAACTGATGAAGATGCAGCTTCTAGCTCTGACGCAAATGGGCGGCTTGTTGAGTCCCCTGCCTCTGTGAAGGGACAAGTGAAGCCTGGAAGCCTGCCCAGCAGATCCAGCAACACATCGAAGATCTCACTCGCCCTTCCAAGTTCTCAGGGCCGCGCTTCAAGCGAACGGTTGTGCCGGCAGGGAGGTTGACCTGCACAGCAGCCGCGGTCGCAGCCCGCTTTGTACCACTGCACTGCAAAGCACAGCGGAAGCCAGCTCCAATGCTCTGAGGCCCACACATTTGGCCGGAACCTGACTACATCCCTCTGCACAGAGCAGCTGTTCTGACAAACTGGGAACCCGGAAAAAACAAGCTGGCTGGACCAGAAATTGAATTCCACCACGGTGTTCGGGTACGCCACTGCACCTGCCAAATGAAATGTTCTCCTGGCACAGCTTGCTCTGATATCAGAGCCAAGAGGCCTCGAGACCCGTAGAAGATCTCGGACACGATCTCAGCCGCGTGACCCAGTACAAGGCTGCGGTAAGCACCATGAAATCCCACAAAGCTAAAAGAGGGACTGCTGTCTGAGAGCCAGGCAAAGAGCTTCCCCTCCTGGCTCACGCGGGTGGAGAACTGGAAGGGCCGCTCAGGGATGCCGGCCTTGCCATGTGGCAACAGGACTGGATGGAAGCCTCCAAGATTCCTTGCTTGCAGTTGCTCGCGGCCTCTGGCACTGCCAGTCTGAAGGACGGATCACTCTGGTAGGCCGAGTACGGCCTCACAGCAGAGCTTCTGAGATCTTCTTTTGCTCATGCGTGCTGGCTAGTGCTGGCTTGCTTGAAGCCAGGGTCCGTGCAGCTTGAAGTCCTGATCGCGCTCGATGAAGAAGCGCACCCGCTCCTGACAAAAGGTTGCTGTAAGGATCTCCAACTAACACCACTGCTGAAAGCACAATGTGGCCTTGACTGAGCCTGATCTGAGCACCTTACGCCTGCAAAGATCTGCACGGTGGAGATCATCTGCACTGTCAAGAGCACTTCATTCTGGTCCCAATACCCAACCTTGGCGAGGCTCTGTCTGAGCCAAGGAGTACATGAGCATTTGCAGTGCAAAGTCGCGCCTCCCCGCGGAAGAGTGGACCATTGGCACCAGAGATTTTGACGGTGCCTGAACGTGCATCTCCCTGCACACCTTAGGTTGCTGAGTACCACACCACAGTGCTTCAGCAGACACACATGCAAAGAACAGCAAAATAGCAGCTTATTAGCAATGAGGTATCCTAGCCGCAGCTTCAATCCCAATAGTCTTCAATGGAACTATTCCTCTTCTTCAATGGCCGGGATTCCTGCCGATCAAGTTGGTCCTCCCAGGATCTCGTACCAACCCGCCAAGTTTGATGTACATTGTCCTGAAGCGCAGTCTCTCACATCAATGGAGACGGTCGCCTCCCTATCGAATCAGCTGGGCCAGCCACGAGTTTGGAAGCACATCCGTGTTCAAGACCAGGGAGAAGCTGATTCTCGTGAAGGCATTGACCGACCTTGTCTACAAGTCATGTCTGAGATCTCGCTTGGGTGTAAACTTTACATGTAATGCAAGCAGGCACAAATAAGAGATAAGCGAGGCGACTTTGGGAATTTGTATCATGTTGCAACACTTCTGACGAGGGATCCCAAACCCGACTCGCAAGGCAGCAGGCCTTCCCGGTTTATGGATCAACAGAAAGACTCTGACGTTGAAACGCTCAATCCGGCTGGGACCTTCTGTCTTCTACTGGAAGCTATAGGATGGTTCATGTTTCATTGTCTGCATGGCCCCAGGAGTCTGAAGAGAGGCGATGTAACTTTCCGATGCAGACAGTGAACTTCTGCAGTCAGGGAAACCCTAGACCCCGAACCCTAATCCCTAAGCCCTTAACCCTAAGCCCTATATTCTAGTAGTTTCCATTTCATTTTCCACTATCCCAACATAACCCCAAGCTCATCACCTCGCATGACCGCCAACAGCAGGCTTCAGCTTCAGCAAACGAAAGAGACGTAATCAGTTAAAATGTCTGACATAGGCATAGGCCCTTCTCATCAACCGAGCAGTGGGGATTTGTAAAGTCCCACTTCGTTCCTACGTGCACCTGCCTTGGAGAAATTTGGGAGCTGACCAAGCTGGAAGTGCGAAGACAAGCCAGGCATAATATCCTCGTCTCCACTCTACTTAATCCTCACCAAATGCCAGGGGTTCTGAAGATAGGAGGTGCTCAGGACCTTGGCTATGTCATACAAAAATAGAGGATTATGGGATGCATGTTAAAGAAATAAGGATCCATGTATAGGAATAGATTCAGAAGAATTCCCCAAATGTCCCTAAACCCTAAGCCCTAAAACCTGAACCTGCGCCCTAAACCCTAAACCCTAAGTAGTAGTTCCCATCTTCTTTTTCATTATCCCTATAACCCCAATAGTCTATAGTAGTTTCCATTTTCCATTATCCCCAAGTAACCCCCATGGACTCCCAATGTACCAAGAAACAGCTCCAAGGCCCAGGCGAGTCCTCGGGCTCGAACTCCACAATGGACTCAATCACAAACTTGTCATCTCCGACTTTAGGAATCTTCTTGATCGGCCTAGAAAGTGCGTGGGGGATAGATTTAGGGGCCCTATAAAAACATGGGGTTATGATCCATGATAAGTACATGGAATGTGGTATACTTCAGAGTAGCACTTGGGGTTGGGGATTTTGGGAAGCTGACGCAGGGATCCACATATACCGTGGGCAGGTGCTTCTTGCAATTTCATGGTACCTAATATCTTCAAAGCCTATCAGAGCTTTGGCTTCTTAGAACCCCTCTAACCTGGGTTGCAACGTGTTCCTGAAAGTGCTCCTAGTGTGTTACTACTGGGTTGTTGACACTACCAGCCTGTTGTGGAGGGTGGGTGTCTGCGCCGTCTTCTGTGCGAAGAGTTGCACGCGCAGGTTACATCTCAAATTATGACGCAGCAGACCTTTTCTACCAACCGAATCATAGCCCCAGACTCCCAAATACAGCGCTAGAAACTAAAAAACAACCATGAACCCACAAGTGCATCTTTTGGCCATCTGTTCTTACAAGCACTTGGAATCAGGAACTGGTTCAGCTGAGCTCCCTGCTCCAAGTCAATCAGCGCACCCCTTCCTGGGCCACGCCAGGCTTTCTTCTTCTTCTAAGGGCGTTGCGGTCCCCGCATGGAGGAGGTCCCTCCCTCCCTCCCTCCCTCCCTCCCTCCCTCCCTCCCTCTCACACACTGCCACTGCTTCAACGAAGGTCTTTGCCAGAGTTGGGATCCACGGAACAATCACAACAGAATATGCAGAACCCGCCACTCACTCTGGGGCTGTGACCCTCGATGCGCAGGATACCGTCATTCTCACTGAGCCTCTTTGCAGTGCACAAGACCCTCACGGAGTCAGGGCATGGCTACTTACCTGACCTGGCGTAGCTTGAAAGATGTGATGGTGCGACAAACAACCCGGTATCTCGTGTGCTTTTAGCCCAGCACTGCTCAGCTACGAGTTCTTGGATTTTCTGCTTGACGTGATCTAGATGTTCAATGAGACATTGCACGGGCGGCAGGCTTCCCAGGCTCTGCACGGCAGCTGAGTGGGCAGCTTGTCTGGAAGGCGGAACACGCTGTCTCTGCCAATAGATACCCTGAAGGGCATTGCCTTCCAGGCCACGGCAAGGGCTGCCAGAAGCCGCTTCTCAAACTTCCAGGAGCATGCAGCACAGACTCGGCCCCAGGCGTTGCTTATGATCTCGTTCTCTGCGACGGTGAACTCCAACATGCTGTCCTGTAATGTAGGAGGCCGTAATATGCGTAGGCTTAACACAAACTGTAGATATATTGGATGGGGATCATGGAAAAGAAAATGGAAACTATTATAGTATGATAGGGTATATATTGGGGTTATATAGGGATAATGGAAAAGAAAATGGAAACCTTGGTATGTTCTCCCCAAGATGGTTTAATTCATGCGAAGCATGGTAGCTCTAGTTACTCGGTCAAATGCAGGCTCCTGCTGGGTCCATGAGGCCGCTTGATTCTGAATTCGAAACGCATCGGGGCCTGTGCGCTGAACGCAGAACTAGAGGGCAGCTGCTATCATGTACATCCCTATATGTGTATATATATATATACATACATACCCATATACCCCTATATCTCCCAATGTATAGATATATATATATATACATACATATGTGTGCTTCTGTATCAGCTGGGTGGAGAGCCCAGAAGCGGAATCGAGGTCAAGGTGCACCTGCTGAGCATCTGGGCACCCACTCACTCCGCAGCTCTTTCAGCAACAGCTAACACCCCTATATATCCCTTTAAAGGGACCCTAGTATATTATAGTAGTTTCCATGTGATTTTCCATTATTCCCTTTACAACCCCTACAAAACCCCCATATGACCGACAATCTGCCAAAGCTGGGCTCCCAACGCAAAGCCATACATGTGAATGACAATGCTGTCCTTAGAGCAAGATGCTACGGAATTCCACATCGGGGTTATAATATAGGGGTTATATTGGGATAATGGACAATGAAATGGAAGCTACCATAATATCATAGGGTACATATTTGGGCTTATATAGGGCGGAAAGGCCAGAGTTTGTTGTGTTTGGTGGAAAGGCACTGGCCCCCTGGTAGAACACGATGGTGGGCTCAAGGGTGAAGCTGACGTTTGCAGCTAACCTGCCCGCCAGGAGCCAGTCAAAGCTACGCCGCAAGAGACAATAGGATCATGCTTTGTTATCACTTGGGGCTTTTTCCTACGTAGAAACCCTACACCCCATAAACTAAGCCCGATCATCTTCATTTTCCCCTCCATTCCTCCATTCTTCCTCTCCACTGTTGAAAAATGTCCCTTGCAATCTCAGTTCAAACCTACGATAGTCTTCAACAACAACCCAAACCCCCTAAAGGATCCAAAAAGTGGAACCTCCTTCTATCTGCTTCTCATCCCATGGATATCCTGATGCAATGCGCTCACTTCTGGGGTTCCACTTTTCGGATCCCTACGTATCCCTAAGTGCCTGTTGAAAAGCGACTGGCCTGAGGCTTTCATGTCATTCTCTATGTCTTTTCCATTCTTGGGATAATAGGGGGGTTGGGAACCCAGCGCCACTACCCTAAACCCTAAATCCTGAGCCCTGAACCCTAAGCCCTGAGCCCTAAACCCTAAATCCTAAGCCCTGAACCCTAAGCCCTGAACCCTAAATCCTAAATCCTAAGCCCTGAGCCCTAAGCCCTAAATCCTAAACCCCAAACCATAAACCCAACACACAAAGGACGACTAAGCAACGGACATCAAGGCGCACAGCAATCTGCTCCTGCACCTGCAAAAGCGGACCCTAAACCCTA